GTAGTTTGTGTTGTGTGTCGTGTGTGTTTTTTTTTGTGTGTGTGTGCTGTTTGTTGTGTGTTGTGTGTGTTGTGTGTCGTGTGTGTGTGTGTGTTGTGTGTGTGTGTGTGTTGCGTTGTGTGTTTGTGCTATGTGCGTCGTGTGTTGTGCGCGTTGTGTGTATCTTGTGTGTTTGTGTGTTGTGTGCGGCGCGCGTTGTGTGAATGTGTGTGTGTGTTGTGTGAGTTGTGTGTTGTGTGTGTGCTGTGTGTGGTGTATGGTGTGTTGTGTGTTGTTTGTGGTGTGTGGTGTTGGGTGTGTTGTGTTTTGTGTGTGTTGTGTGCTGTGTGTTGTGTGTTGTGTGTTGTGTGTGTTGTGTGTTGTGTGTGTTGCGTGTGTGTTGTGTGCGTTGTGTGTGTGTGGTGTGTTGTGTGTGTTGTGGGTGTTTGCGCGCTGTGTGTGTTGTGTGCGTTGTGTGTCTTTTGGGGGGTCATATTTCTGGCGCCGCCCAGGCCTTTCTTCGCGGCGCTCCTCGGAGTCCTCGGAACCCGTACGGGAGTTCTTATGCCTTCTCGACAGCTCTCAGGACCTCGCGGTAATTTGCAGAGACCTCTGGGAAGCTCTCAGAGGTTTGTCGGGGTGTCTCAACAGCCTTTCGTGGGCTTTGAGAAGCCTCCAGGAATTCTCAGGGCGTCGCGGAGGCTCGCAGCGACTTTTCGGAAACTCTCAGTGGCTTTGCGGCAGCCTTCATAAACCGCTCGGAACCATTGAGAAGCCTTTTGGAGGCCATCACACATTTTCGAAGGCGTTCGGACGCTCCCAGAAGTCTTTCGGACATTTTCAGGATTCAACGGATTATGGGAAGTCTTGTGGACGCATCAGAGGCGTTCCGTATTCTTTACGGTGTCCTTTGGATTCCTCGGGGGTCCTTGAACATCATTTGGCGCATGTGGTTCCCGCCAGAAGCCAAGTGCAGCTTACTCGTAGTTTGTATTCGGTTGCCATCTACCAGTATTGTTGGCCTTACACAATTACCCGCCGTGGATGGGCGGGACGCATCCGGCCATAATAAATGGTTACCCTACTACTGCCACTACTATTATTATTATTACTACTACTGCTACTATTACTACTTCTACTACCGCTACTTCTGCTGCTGCTACTACTACTACTACTACTTCGACTACCACTATTACTGCTACTACTACCACTACTACTACTATTTCTGCTACTGCTACTACTACTACTGCTACTACTACAAGTTCTATTACTACTACTACTACTACTACTACTACTACAACTACTACTACTACTACTACGACTACGACTACTACTATTACTACTACTAGTAGTAGTACTACTACTACTACTACGACTACTACTACTACTACTACTATTACTTCTACTACTACTACTTCTACTACTACTACTTCTACTACTACGACTATCTCCAATATTACTACTACTACTACTACTACTACTACAGCTACTACTACTACTACTACGACTACTACTGCTGCTACTACTACTACTACTACTGCTACTGCAACAACTAATAATACTACTACTACTACCACTACTACGTCTACTATGACTACTACTACTACTACTACTACTACGACTACTACTACTACTGCTATTACTACTATTACTACTACTACCACTACTACGAGTACCACTACCGAAACTACGATTCCTTATTTTACCATGACTTGTATTATTACGGTCACGAGTACGACTACGACTATTATTACAACTACTACTACTACCGCTACTACTACTACTACTAGTACTACTACTGCTGCTCCTACCACTAGTACTACTAGTACTATCAGTAGTACTACTACTACTACTACTACTACTACTACTACGACTACTACTTCTACTACTACTACTACCACTACCACTACCACTACTACTACTACTACTACTACTACTACTACTACTACTACTACTACTATTACTACTACTACTACTACTACTACTACTACCACTACCACTACCACTACTACTACTACTACTACTACTACTACTATTATTATTACTACCACTACTTCCGCTACTACCAGTACTAGTATTACTACTACTACTACTACTACTACTACTACTATTTCTACGACTGCTACTTCTACTACTACTGCTACTACCACTACTACGACGACGACGACTCCGACGACGACGAAGACCATTCCTAATATTACTACTACTACTACTACTACTACTACTACTACTATTGCTATTGCTACTACTACTACTACTACTACTACTACTACTACTACTATGATTACCACCACCACTACTACTACTACTACTACTACTACTACCACTACTACTACTACTACTACTACTACGAATACTACTACTACGACTACTACTGCTAGAACTACTACTGCTACTAATACTACAACTACTACTACTACTACTACTACTACTACTGCTACGGCTGCTACTACTACTACTACTACGGCACTACATCTACTACTGCTACTATTATTACTACGACTAGGTCTACTACTTCTACGATGTCTACTACTACTACTACTATTACTAGTGCTACTACTACCACTACTACTACACTACTACTTCCACTACTACTACTACTACTACTACTACTACTACTACTACTACTACTACTACTACTACTACTACTACTACTACTACTACTAGTAGTAGTATTACTACTGCTACTACTGCGACTACTACTACTACTACTACTACTACTATTATTATTCCTCAACCTACTACTACTACTACTACTACTACTACTACTACTACTACTACTACTACTACTACTACTACGAGAACCACTACCGACACTACTAGTCTTAATTTTACCTTGACTTTTACTAGTACTATCCCGAGTAGGACTACCGCTATTCTACGACGACACCTGCTCCTACGACGACTACTACTACTACTACCACCCCCTGGGGGTGCTATAGCATTCCCAAGAATTTCTATGATATCCCCAAAGGATTATTGGATCCCCGAAGGATTCTACATTGCCGTGACAAAAGTATTATGCGGTCTTCATTCAACATGACTCAAGACTGGCGGAGTAAACGGAGCGGGCGGAGTAGAAATATACTCCGCGTGGACACGCATCCCGTCCCGTTTTTTCATACAGGAATGGGCGGAGTAATTTCCGATCCTGTTTTGAGATAGCAATGTTATTCATTAGAGGTAGACGAATTACTCCGCGGGATCGCGGAGGACGCATGTCAATGTTAGGAATCTTCAGAGGGATAGGAGATTCCACCATATCATAAAACCGCATAGTCTTTTGTCACAGCGCTGTATAGCATCCCCCAAGGATTATACACGATCCCCTAGGTATCCTATAGCATCCCTGAGGATTCTATCGCATCCCCTAGATACTTCAGAGTCCCAAGGGAGTGGACAGGATTTCCTGTACGCTTCCGAAAAAGTCTTCAATTCCGAGGCCGGTTCGGTGGAGCGTGCATAGGTTGAGCTCGTGGGAATACGTGGGCTGCTTTTTAGGAACCCAGAAGATTTTCAACGGCTTCCTGTGGCTTCCTATGCTGGCCGTATGGCGTAGCGTTGCGTTGCGGTTGCGTTGCGCATTGTTATATATATATATATATATATTATCTCTCTCTCTCTCTCCCTCTCTCTCTCTCTCCCCCCCTACTCCACATATGCCCACGTAGTCTCTCTCGCTCTCTCTCTCTCTCCCTCTCGCTCTCGCGCGCCCAATAATCCCTTCCCTCCCTGTTTTTTCTTGTTTTCTCAAGGTCTCTCCGTTTCTCTTTCTGTCAGTCCGAGTATCAGTCCGTCAGTCTCTCTCTCTCTCTCTTCCTCCCTCCCTCCTTCTGTCTCTTTCTCTGTCTCTGTCCCTTTCCTTTTCTCGTTCTCTTACCGTCTCCGTGCCCGCCCGTCCCTCGCGAGTGCGCCGCCTCGAGTGGTGACCCGGCATGGACGAAATTCGCAGAATGCATGAGTGGCAGTGGGCACAGACATGCCTGCCGACGGGATAGCGAACTCGGGGGTTCCTGTCGCCTCGGGGGGCACGCCTGTAGTCCGGGGGGGGGGGTACCTGTGGTCCCGGGGGAGGTACCTGTAGTCCAGGGGGGGTGTACCTGTAGTCCGGGGTTGAGTACTTGTAGTCCGGGGGAGGGGTACGGTAGGTTCGCGTCGTGTCGACCGGCGGCGACCCCGCCGCGGGCGTTCAAGGTTGAACGCCGCCAGTGGCCCAGAACCGGCCTATATGGAACGATCGAGCGATCCACAGTCGCCGATCGTTCAAGGTTGAACGATCCACGCGGAGTCAGAAACCAACGCCGGGGTCGTCACGACACGATCCTGACGTACTTGTATTCCGGGGAGACGGTACGTGTAGTCCGGGGAGTTTTTGTAGTCTGGGGACCCAGAACAAATGAGGGACACAATGTATGTACGCTCTTGGAGGCAAGACCTACGGCCCGCGCGTGGTTCACATCTGTGCGTGGTCGCAGAGACGTCCGCTCCCTATCGCCCTTGCTCCTCACAAAAGAAGGGTCGAAGTCCACGATTTGAGGAAGGCCCGACGAGAGCAGCATGCTGATAACGATCCGCCCTCCATCTGTGCATATGCTAGAATCCATCGCCACGCTGCGAAAGGACGTCTCAGGCGAAAAACGCCCAGACTGACCTACCGACACGCCCGTTGTTGCGGCGGGTCGGGTGTATGGGACGATCAATTGTCGGGCGGCGAGGGCTGCAGAAAACGGGCCCTTTAGGGCTCAAAGGGGGGAGGGCCTTGAGGGCCTGAGAATTGCACCTCTCGTCCCCTCGCCCCCCAAGCAAGGCCCAAGCGGGGATGGGGGGTCATACGCAGCACGGGCGCATGTGCTGCAGGAGGGAGAGCTGGAGGCGGGGGGACGAGGAATAGGTCACATCGAGGGCGGAACGACGAGACGGCAACGACGACGACGACCACAACGACGACCGCGGCGAGTGCGAGTGCGGCGGCGACGACCACGGCGGCCTGCGGCCACGACAACGACGATCGGCCGCCGGAGGCCCTGCGGTGCCCCGGGCGGCGCCGCCCCGGGGGCCTTGTCGTTGCCAGAGCCGGGCGACGTGTGCATGGTCGTCTACACCTCGGGGTCCACTGGGCGCCCCAAGGTCTGGGGTGGGCAGAGGAGCAGCATGCATCGGGGCACAGCAGAGAGCCACAACCACCATTTAGGGGACTCTTCTGGAAGGCCCTTCGGGGGAGAACCCACCGACCTCGACATCAACACTTTGGCTCTGCCACGGACTCTCGGTGATTACCCATCCCGAGAGCAGGAGCGGCCGAGGCTTCGAATGGAGCGGAGCGGCGGTGGAAGGGCGGAGGAGCGGGGAAGCGCCCAGACCCCGCCCGGGGCTTCCTGGGGGGCGAGGGGACGGGGGAGAGGCCAGTTCGGGGGTTGCTGAACGTGCCCCTGGCCCAGGGTGCCCTCAGCTTTTCTCGCCCCATTCTGGAGCCCCTGGGGCCCCCCCCTTGGGTCTCGTGAGGGGTGCTCTCTGGAGGCCGCCCTCCTCGGAACGCCTGGGGGGCACCTTCGGCCAGGAGCACCTCCAGCGACACCCGTTCGCTCTGCTTCCGCCGCCCTCCGCCGCTTGACACGCAGTCTCCTGCCGAGGAGGAGACACGTGTCCACTGCTCGGTTGGTCGAGGGCGAAGGCCCCCCCCCTCGCTGGCCCAGGGTGCTCCCAAGTCGGGGAAACGTAAGACCCGAGTGCGCCGACGCTTTTCAACGAACTTTCCCCTGAATTCTGACGGTTCGGTTTTCTTGGGATGTTTGCAGCTGGAGCTCGCGTCAGATTTCAGATTGGGCCTCGTCATTTTCATGATGCCTCCGTCAGGCCAACCCGAGTCTCCCGAACCCGAGTCTTACGTCTCCCCGATCCAGGATTTCCAGGGAGGTCCCCACGTCCTCCAGAGCACCCCTCGCGAGGGTCCCAACATGGAGCGAGAAAAGCTGGGGGCACCTTGGGGCAAGTGTACCTGGAGCAGCCCCCGAAGCAAGAGCGGCTCCGCCGGGGCAAGCTGGCGGAATGCCAGCGGAAACCACCAGCATAAAAAGATGGATCGCCAAGAGATGGCAGCATTTTGGGATGCGGGGTTTCTGGAGTGGTCGGGTGTTGACAACGGTGGCATTGGCCCAAGGTGACCCCAGCTCTCCATACTACCCCTCACGTGCCATAGGCCTCCTCACGAGGCCGAAGGGGGCCCAGGGGCCCCCGTACCAGGAGGCCCAGATGGCATCCACAGTACCCCTCACGAGGCCCAAGGGGGCCCAGGGGCTCCAGTGGTGCGAGAAGCTTGGTACAGCTTTGGGGCAGGAATGCATGTGGCATCCCAGGAGGAGCAATTGCAGATGGGGGAGAGTATAGTTCGGGGATTGAGATCCTCATGTTGCATTTTTTTCAGACGAGGCGTTTCCTTTGTGCTGCGACCCCTGAACTCCTGGGCCGAACCCGCTTGAGAAATGTGGGCGTCGCGTAAGGGGTAGGCGATAAAGGAAGGGCAGCGGGGGCTGCAGAAACGGAGTCCTTTGGGGCCCCTGAGGGGCCCTTTAGGGCTCCATAGAGGCCCTCGAAGGCCCGAGGAGTGCACCGTTCTCCCCCCTTTTTTACCGCCCCCCCTCATCAAGCGACGCTCAAAAGGTAGCACGCTCTTGTCTGCCACGTCGGATCCCACCGGGGGGGAGGAGGAGTTCCGGCCTCCAGGCGCCGCTGCAGAACAGAGGCACAGCGTGCTCTGGGCGACGGGGCCGCCGACAGATGAGCGACACATGGAAACGGGGTCGACTGCGCCGACATTGGCGCGCAAGCTGCCCGCATAAGCTCGCGCGTGAGCGCCCTCGTCTCCACTATGGCTTGCCGCGCTGGCGGCCCGCGTACGCCACCGTGTAAGGTCGCTGCGTCATCTCGCGTAAGACCCGTTTTTGATCGTCGCTCAGATGCCACCGGGAAGGAGAAGCCAGTCCCTGGGGAAGGGGTGGAGAGGCCCATTCGGGGCTCAAGAGACTGGGGTTGATGCGAGGAGGTCATGGGCAAGAAACGCATCCGTATCCACGACATCGCGGGCCGGGCCCCTGGGCCGCGGCTCCGCGGATGTGGGGCGTTTTTGTCGCGTGTACCCCGCGCGGAACGTATCCGTGCGGCCGTGTGTCCGCGGGATCGCGCCCCGGAATGCCGAGGGCGCGGATACGGATATTTGCGTCACTCGTGAGAAGGGGTGGAGAGGCCCACTTTCCCGAACAAGTTCAGCCTGTGTTTCTTTGATTGCCTTATTTCCCCATATCTAAAGGATGGGGTTCTTGTGATTATTCCCTGTATCCAAAGGGTAGGGTCTTGTCAGTTCCCATCCAAAGGATGGGGTTCTTGTTATTACTCCGACCGTGCCGAGAGGGAACCCCTCACTCCTTACCTCCTCCTCCTCCTCACCCAGAGTCACATTCAGGGTCACTACCTAGGTGATTCCCCATATCCAAAGGATTGCTTTCTTGACCCCCCATCCCAAGGATGGGGTTCTTGTTAATTCCGGGAAAGGAGGAATACGAGAAGGAGGAGGAGGAGGAGGAAGGAGGATAAGGAGGAGGAGGAATACGAGGAGGAGGAGGAGGAGGAGGAGGAGGAGGAGGAGGAGGAGGAGGAGGAGGAGGCCGTTGCCCCCCCGGGGGCGCGGACCCCGCTCGACCCTCGACACGTGGGCGGTGGGTCCCGCCGGGGGGGGGGGCGACAGGCCAGGCGCGGCGCCCGCCATGGCGCCGGACGGTCGCGTCTGAGGGCACGGCGCGGAGCCCGCGGCGCCCAGCGCCAACGCCGACCTCACGGCTCCACCACGACCCCCTTGGCAGGAGCAAGGGGGTGCCCACGCAGGACCGCCAGCGCGAAAGGCGGCAAGCTGACCCGCTGGGTGCCGACCTCCAGGAGCGCGCTATCCTCGACATCGAATGCTGCGAAGGAGCGGGGAGAACATTGGCTCGACGTGGCCGTGCGTCACCCGGCGGCGGAGTGCGTCGTGGGTCGAGCCGCCCGCAGGCCGGGCGAGGCAGTGCACGCAGCTGAGTGCGAGAAACACGCGCGTCACCCTGGCGACCGCCTCACACCCTTCGTGGTGGAAGCGCCAGGCCTCCTCGGGGGTGACGCCCGCCAGTTGCTCGTCGGCCAGGCCAAGACGTGCCCTGACGACCAGCAGCGCGCGCAGTTCATCCGCGCGTACGAAATGGTCGGTCGCGTCGTCCAGACGCAGTTGGCCTTCAGCGCCGCAGAGCCGTCGGCCGACGCTAAGCAAGCAGCGCTCTCCCTTTTCCCTTCTCCCCATCTCCCCCCGCCCAACTAACAGGGATAATGCTTAGCTGCGTCGTTTTGTTGGGCAATATTTTTTCTTACCCCGCTCTTTGGCTCAGGCGGGCGCGCGCGCTTAAGGGGGTGGTTGGGTGGCTCAGACCCTTCCGCTGGGCGCCCGCCTCCGCCGTCATCGGGTTCCTCCTTCCTCCCCCCTACATTTCGTCCTCCTCGTCCGAAGGGTCGTCTTCTCAGACGTGCGATGCTTTTGCTTCTGTTATTACTCTTGGGGCAGGCCCTCTCGTGTTCCTCGATGTGCCGCCTATATTTGAAGCTGCGCCGAATGGTGATAAAATATGATTGCCCCCCTGCCGTCTCGCACAGAGTTTTTCCCCGCCCGGCAGGTTGGGGTTGTTAGATTTCAAGAACAGGCCCTTCGGCCAACCCCACCCTGCATACCGCGGCCGCCAGACCCCAAGTTGCCCCGACGATCTTGGGCATCCCGCGTCGCGCCCGGCCAACCCCGCGGTGCATGCCGCGGCCGCCAGACCCCAAGTTGTCCCGATGGTCCTGAGTGTCCCGCTTCGCGCTCGGCCAACCCCACCCTGCATGCCGCGGCCGCCAGACCCCAACTTGCCTCGATGATCCCCGAGTGCCCGGGTGCCACGCCTCGCGCCCTCGACGAACACGACAGGACACACCATGACAGAACAACACATGACTGAAAATAACAAAGCTTGATAGAACATTCCAGAGCATAGCGTATCAAAAGCATGGAAGCACAACATCATACAACATACCAAAACAACACATGGCATAACAAAAGACGACCGGCCACAACATACCATACCAGAAGCTATCACAACACAACACACGCTGACATATTATTTCATTCCATGACACAGAATCACACAACGCATCACAATACGATTGCATATCATAGCGACGACGAGCACAAACTAACATACCATGACACAGCAGAACCTGACAGAGAACAGCACGAACATGACAGAACATGGCAGCCATGACAGAGTATCGCATAACAGAGCATTACATAATATATCAGAAAGGCCATCAAGTAACAGAGGGCGACTGAACACAACATAACAGAACATAGCCGGTAATAACACCACACCTTGACATAACACACCATACCATGACACACCATCATATATTCTATCAGAACACGCGAGCAAAACATAGCGGAACATACCAGCAAAGCATATCATTACACATTACACAGGACCGGGTCGTCAACAAACAGAAATTCACAGAATATACCGGGGCAGAACCTGACAGAGCCGAAAACGATTAGTCAATCTAGCGGAGTAGAGACGACCAAACCATAGCACACCTTGACATAACAGATCATGTCATGCCACAGCATCACAAAACATAATGTACCACGTCAGCAGAGCTTAGCGGCAACGAGAACGAGAGAATCCAACACCACACAACATAACGTGACATGACATAACATGAGCGTGACAGGCAATGACACAACATAACGTATCAATGGTTTGACAGCGTAGTGCTTCACATATCATCACATACCATACCAGAACAGAACATGACAGACAAAACGACAGACCCCAACATATGATAACGTAGCCGGGCATACCATCGCACACACTGACAGAACATAGCATGCCACGACTTAGCATCACATAACATATCATAACACGGCGGCAAAGCACACCAACACATGTTAGCAGAGCAGACCGAATCATGCTATAGTATCAGGGCCAGGCCGTCAACAAACAGGATACCACATAACATACCAGAGCAGAACATGACAGAGCAACAGACGACATAACACAACACCGCAGATCATAACCGAGCAT